TATATCATGAGCCTAATGATCTTTCGTCCTTGCAGATATTTGCATGATGTACTCTACATCACCTGCTTCGTGCAGCTAGCGTCTATCATCTCTGGAAAGTTTTGGTATGCGTATCTAGTGGTACGCCCATCTCATTTTTTTCTTGATTGGCAAAGTTTTAAATGCTACTGTAGGCAAACAATAGATTGCGCAGCGTCCCTTGGAAAATGATGATGCGACCATTCTTTTTTCTTTTCATTTTATAGATTCCTGCGTTTGGAACGTACAAAGCTTCTGGTCTTATCAGGGGATTCATGTCACAAGGTTCAGAGGTAATCACTTGATTTTGATTAGTATCAACGTGCTTTTGAACAAGTAGGAAACATGAGGATTATTAAAATGGACTGTATTTTGTCTGGGTGACTGAACTTAGGGAGGCGTAGAGGATGAGAAAACTCGCAAAAAGAGGGAGAAGATGGAGAGAAAAGCTTCTCGAGGGCAAGTCGTGAGGACAAGAACACGATGAATGTCTCAACATCATCTTTTAGCAAACACAATTTGGAAAAACTCACTTTGCGAGTCCTTGTTGTACTGATGTAGCTGTCTTTACACTATTTGAGTTTTCTTTAGTAGTAGACAGTAAATTCTCTGAGGATAAAAGACATTTTGTTCACTGGATTCGTTTGATATTTATGGTTTTGTTGAGCCATTGCGAATTCCATCCTTATGCTTTGTTTGTGTTGTGAAGTAACTTGAAAAATCAACTTCATAACTGTTCGACTAAGCTTGATGGAAAGAGAGGGAACTCAAGAAAGACCATTTTGTAGTTCGTTTTCTTGAACACAAATGTGAGATTACACACACTAATATATAATATTTGAGTCAAAACAAACAAACATCATGAGACTGTAAAAACAATTTCTTGTTGAAACCAAAGTACAAATTGTTATATACAAAAAAGTTCATGTACTTTGATATCTTGGTATTGGGTTAATATCACCTGTTGGTTATGGAGCAGAGATTGAATTCACGTTCTAGTGTCCATAAAGATTCATTCTTGTTATTGATACTTAGCGTATACTCCTGGAAATACCCACTATATGTAATCACCGATACTGTCGCCCTGAAAAGGACGACAAACAAGAAAAA